TAGAAGACAAACGGATTGCCAACCAGCAGGCAAGCATACTGTCCAACAGATATATAAATGTGTTTAAATAAAGGAGTGGTGGGGGGGGGGGGGTGGAGGGAGCTGCCTTTGAGGTAAGGCTCCCACCTCTGACATGAGCAGAATCATAGTTGCATTAACATTGTAGGGGACTGCCCCTGCATGCCTAGCTTTCGCAGACAAGGACCTTCTTCTTCTTCTTCTCTTCCACCTTGTACCTCAGCGAAGTGTGTGGGAGAGATGTCACATTCGTTGATGAGCTCTGTCAAGAGCACTATTAGGACTGATGTTCATTTCAGTAAGGCTGTTCTTAATGCCATCACTCCATCTTTTCCGAGGTCTTCCACTCGCTCTATACCCGTTGTAACGTTTCAGTGTGGCTCGCTGTGGCAGACAGTACCAGGGCATTCTTGTTAGGTGTCTAAACCACTTCATTTGTTGTTCTTTGATGACCTTTAAGACTGGCTTTATTCCTAGCATTCATATAATTTCGTATTCTGTATTTCCTTGAAACTCCTGCAGCTCTTCTAAGGCATTTCACCTCTGTTGTCACAATTTTATGTTCACTGCTGGAAGATGTAAGTGTTAACACAGGGACCAACAACTAACAAAACTTTAAGTCATTGAGATTAAAACTCCCCATCAATTGAGAATTAAAAACAGCATCAGGGGTCAGCGCTTAGCTAGTGTTATTCTGTTACACACTTGTATATCCTTGTCTGAAACTGCTAATCAAAGAGAATCTAGACATGGCATGGTATACGGTAAGAATCTAGACACAGTACAATATGTGAGGAGAATCTAGACACTGCATGGTATATGGTGAGAATCTAGAAAAGACAAAATATGTAAGGAGAATCTAGTTACCAAAGAAAATGTATACAGAATCTAGACATTTCATTGTATATGGTGAGACTCTAGACAAAGCACAATATGCAGGGGAGAGTTGACAAGGCACAGTATGTTGGGAGAAGCTAGACAAGGCACAACATGTGGGAAGTCTCTAAACATTACATGGTATGTGGGGAGAACCTAGGCAAGGCATGGTATGTGGGGAAGAATCTAGACAATGCCTGGCATGTGGGGGATAACCTAGACAAGGCACAATACATAAGAAGAATCTAAACCAGACAGGGTATGTGTGGAGAACCTACATATTACATGGTATGTGGGGGAGAATCTAGACACGAAAAGGTATGCAGAGAGAATCTAGACACTACATGGTATGTGAAGAGAGAGAATCTAGACTTAACATGGTATGTGGAAAAAATTCAGATATTACATGGTATATATCTAATCAAACAATGAGACTAGATTTTAAAATGAATGTCTAGTGCAACCAGACCCATTAACCATGCATGCAGTTACATAAAAACGACAGCTTCTAAAATCAGGCAAATGAAATGCACGTTTCAGTCAACAGCCAAGACTTTGGTCCAGCAACACTAGAGTTACCCTCCTTACTAGCCACTCTAAGAGGTTGACAACTGTAACAACAGGGTGTGTTGACAGAACTAATTAGAACAATCGAAGACCCTACTTCCAACCACCCATCCACACAACAGCTTGACAAAAGTATTTAAGACAAGAATGGAAGCAATTAGCGAATAATTAGCAGTGGCAGGCAAAGGACAAAGAACATTCTGGAGACAAGTGCCTAGTTACAACAGGTAAGAACAATACATTTTCTGCCTCAGTCGTTTCTGAAAATGGGAGGGACCAGATTATACTACAGATATATGCATTTTATACTCCCCCCCTTCTTTCCTGCATCATTTGTGATAAGAAAAACTGTTATTTCTGAAAATGGGAGGGACAGATATGTGTGTTTTATATCAACTACATGCACCCCCCCCCCCCCCCCATTTCTTTCCTGCAACATTTGTGATAAGAAAAACTGTTATTTCTAAAAATGGGAGGGACCAGATATGTGTGTTTTATATCAATTTCACGCCCCCTCCCCTTTTTTTTTTTTCATGTGTCATTTCTGATGAGAATCAACTCCATATTATATTGCAAGTATATCTTCTTCTATAGTTTCGTCGCCCAGCTTCTGAGTTGAGTGCATGGTGTGACACTGTGAGCTATGTGTGTTTTTCGTTGGCACAGGAGCAGAACAACTATAGGGTGGCCCATTTGCTTAAAAGCTGAAACTAGGATTACCAGATTACCATATCTTCTTCTTCGCGTTCAACAGCTGTAAACTCTGGGGGAAATTTTTGGTGGTTCATCCACTTCTGGACTGCAGTCCTGTTCCAGAACCGCAGCATTGTGTGCACATCAGTTTGACAGATCTGACACATTTGTGTGCAGACTGTTGGTTCCTTGCCTCTCAGGCAGATGCACTCCGACTTTGAAGGAAGCTCCCAATTAGTCGACTCTTACTACATGCTTTTGGGTAGGCAGTGGGTCTATTCTTGTCTTCCCTATAACAGGGCCCCGGAACCCACACCTTAGGGCACCCAGTATCCAGAAGAGGAACATTATCGACTGGACATTCTACAGGATGTGGACAATAGAAGACAGCTGCATGAGCAGTATCATGTCTTATAGACAGTGAAATACTTCAGTATATTCAACATACGTTTCAAGAGATCAGCTAGAAAAGGCCTGATTTTAGCGAGATGAGACAGGGGTCAACCACAGGACAAGGATATCGCAGACATCTCACTTTCAACCCGATAACATATGGGGCAGTGAAACTTCAAGGAGCTAAAAGATGTCCTGGTGGACTCAGATGGGATCACGCTCCTCACAAGTGCCGACATACTGTGATGATTCATTAATAATTACCCTACCTGTGTGGGTTCCCGGTGCCAATTTGGGTGTGGGGACAGATGCACTGTGGCTTTAACAAGCATGTTATAAAAGGTATAAAACTAGAGGTGTTACCGCTGAAGTTAGAGTGTATCTGCCTGAGGGAAAGAGGACCAACAGTCTGCATATAAATAAGCCATATCTGTAAAACAGATATTTCCTTAAGTGGACAAACAACCAGAACTTTCTGCTGGAGTTTACAGACAGTGAACATTAAGAAGAAGAAGAAGAAAAAGAGAAGCAGAAGGTGAAAGAAGAAGAAGTAGAAGAAGAAGAAGAGGAGCAGAAGGTGAAAGAAGAAGAAGAAGGGGAGCAGAAAGGAAAAGAAGAAGAAGAAGAGGAGCAGAAGATGAAAGAAGAAGAAGAAGAGGAGCAGAAGGTGAAAAAAAGAAGAAAAGAAGAAGAGGAGCAGAAGGTGAAAGAAGAAGAAGAAGAAGAGGAGCAGAAGGTGAAAGAAGAAGAAGTAGAAGAAGAAGAAGAAGAAGAAGAAGAAGAAGAAGAAGAAGAGGAGGAGCAGAAGGTGAAAGAAGAAGTAGTAGAAGAAGAAGAAGAAGAAGAAGAGGAGCAGAAGGTGAAAGAAGAAGAAGTAGAAGAAGAAGAAGAAGAAGAAGAGCAGAAGGTGAAAGAAGAAGAAGTAGAAGAAGAAAAAGAAGAAGAGGAGCAGAAGGTGAAAGAAGAAGAAGAAGAAGAAGAAGAAGAAGAAGAAGAAGAAGAAGAAGAAGAAGAAGAAGAAGAAGAAGAAGAAGAAAAAGAAGAAAAAGAAGAAGAGACAGAAGAAGAAAAAAGAAGAAGAAGAAGAAGCGGAAGAAGTAGAATGTATGTGAATTAACTTTCAAGCGAATTTTTTCTTAAAATTGAGCAAGGAAACGAAGACGCCAAAGAACAACCTAAGACAAATGTTGGCCAAAGGTGCTGGATCGGATTTCAACCACAAAAAAGCAGAAAAACAACCACAACTTTCCGGCGGAGCTTAAAAGCTTACTGTTTGAAAGGAGAGACCGCTTCCAATAAAACTTCAGGAATATGGATTTTTGTGATTTTTTTCTTCTGTCTCTTTTCCCTTTTTGAACTTTGTTGAGGCTCACAAGTTCTAGCATGTGAGTCATATTCTAAATAAAGGCTTTGTATCAAGCAAAATCTGTCTTCTAAACAGGATATATACCATGTGGGACTTAGAAAGCAGACATATAATGAGGTACTTTTGTACATCCATTAGTCCCATTATTAAAACATGAATGCTTTATTTTTTTGCCCTTTATAGTCTGTGGTAAATTTTAGGGTAGGGAAGAAAGACTCGTTGTCCCTCAAAATCATGCCTAAAAGGTGACTCATTGGGTAACTGATGCAATTGGATGTGCTGGGCTAAAAAGTGCAGATATCACAGCCTGGCTGTAGACTGCAACACACAGTACCAACTATCCTTTTTAAGGGTAAACAAACAAGAATATCCACAAGTGAATTATTCTTCCACAACACTAAAGACCAAGGTCTGTGGAGATGTATGAACGAATGAACGAACAAACTTTATTTTCAAAGGGTTATAAATTGGGCACGCAGGCCCATCTGGCATTCGGCCCTTCTAAGTACTCAGTTTTCAGAGTACCAATACCTGTTATCAATAATGCATGTTATGGATTTAATAAGAAATTATAGAATAATGCATACACACATCATGTGTACACAATCGTACACACTCACACACACGTTAACATACTCTTACATTCTCATGCATGCGAACTCATATACAGACATACGTGATACATACACTCGTGCATCTACATACATATACAAGCATTCACATACATAAGACAAATGCACAAACAGAAAAACACACACACATACATTTATGGATATACATGCATACACACCTATACATGCACCTATGCATACACACAAATACCATCACATGTACAGACACCAACATATGCCCAAAACCACACACTTACATAAATAAATACATACACCCACATACATGCATACGATGATGATGATGATGGTTTATTCTTATTTTGCTTGGTTGGTTTTAGAATTTCCATCATCCTCATCATGACCCTGTACAGAATGAACTGTAACCTTTGACCTCCTATTTCCCCAGACAACTGCAATGATGGGCAATTACAGATTGAACTCTAACCTTTGACCTTCTATTTCCCTAGACAACTGCAATGATGGGCAAATACAGTCTTCTACTAGCTGCTGTCACCTTGACCTTGCTGCTGGCCAACAGCGCGGGTAAGACGGTGGTGTTTTTCCCGCCCCCACTGACCAGCTACTTCATCTACCACACAAACATCGCCGGGGCCCTCGCCAGGATGGGCCACGACGTGTACCTGTGTGTGCCCCATTACTTGATCTCCAAAAATTTGGTTAAGGACAAGGATGTGAAAATACTGGAGTACGGAGAACAACTGGGGGACATCACCGGAAAAGCCATGAAGAATACCAACATGATGGAAAAGTTCTGGGCTGGGGATAGTCTTCACCCAGCTTCGACAATGTTTATGGCCTCGGCCGAGTTCGGCAGAGTGACCGTTGAAATTCTTTCAGATAAAGTTCTTGTGGAGAAGATCAGAAGACTCAAGCCTGACCTACTGGTTGTCGACTCTATCCCCTTCAACATGAACATGATAGTGCTGCCATACCTGCTGGATGTTCCCTATGCTCTGGTGGGAACGCTACACGATGTAGTGTTATCTAAAGTTCCTTACAGTCCAGCAACTCCAACAATGTTGGTGAAGTCCCACAAAGACAGAATGTCCTTCTTCAACCGGGTGCAACATTTCTTTTGGTATGTTGCTCAAATCAACTTTGACTTGTATTACGACAGCTCCTGTGTGTCCAAGTTTGCTCCGCACAAACCCTACAGATCCATCAATGAGCTAGCAGCCAATGCAGAAGTGTTCATCATTGAGCTAGACCACATCTTGGACTACCCCAGACCAACACTTCCCAACACTAAACTGATCGGAGGCTCCTCCCCTTCCCTGGCTAAACCACTGACCGGAGAGCTCCTGAAGTTTGTCAATGAGTCCAAGAATGGGATCATCGTCATGACATTTGGGGGCACGGTGGTCAACCTGCCTCCCCACTTCACGTCAAAAATGGCTTCTGCATTCAAACAACTCGACCTCCGAGTGGTGTGGAGGGTAAACATGACCTCGCCCGACCCCAAACAGATCTTGACCTCCACCTGGATACCCCAAAACGACCTTCTGGGACACGAAAAGACCAAACTGTTTGTGTCCCACTGTGGGAAGAACGGACAGTACGAGGCCCTTTACCACGGAGTGCCCATTCTCTGCATGCCCATATTTGGTGACCAGTACTATAACGCAGAAAGAGTTGCAGATAAGGAATTGGGCCTTTATGCTGACATGCGTACAGCCAGTACAGAACAACTGGCAGCCATGTTGAAAGAAATCATCTACCAGAAAAAATACACTGAAAACATGAAGAGAGCTTCCAGCCTGTACAGGGAGTTGTACAAAGACCCAAAGCAAGAGGCCGCCTACTGGCTGGACCATGTGATGAAATATGGTGGAGACTACATGAGGTCAGCAGGCCAACAGATGCCCTGGTATCAGCTGTACGTATTAGACGTTATCGCATTTCTTCTCACTGTGCTCCTAGCGGCCCTGTTCATCATCTACTTCATCATTAAGCAAAGCCTCAAGTGTTGTGGATTCCAGCAGAAGAAAGTCAAAGCAAAAAACGAGTAACCGCTTGAGAACACACAAATCATCAAGAGTCATCTGACATGGTAACATCATGGGAGTGGATAGAGAAGATACAGAGATGGACGAGGGTCAAGATAACTATGGGCACCATCAAGGAACTAAGTAGGCGTGAACACAAGGCAACCCTGGCGACAATAATAGCCTTTGAAAACAATCACAGACACGAGGCAACCACAGCAACATATCTAGCCTTGGAACACCAGCTAAAACTCCACACACTTGTCAGTCAAACTGGAACCAGATTTTCAACCCAACAAGAAGGCAAGCATTTCATAAAGTGACCTCTACTTAACATGGGTATCCAGAAATGTTGATGGAAGTCAAGGCGGCTGGCATGACACTGACCTTACCACTCATCTGCATATATGGGACCAGCACTATAACCCAACAGTGTTGGGAAAGGCCCTTAACTCATTCCCCCTAAGAACTCTAAAACAATGGGGCGATAGGCTCCAGTGGGTATTCCAAAAATAAATCCTTAAAAATCTACAACTGTACACAGATCACTAATATTTTTAAAATACAAACTATCTATCTATATTTTTTTTTATATAAAGGCAGCAATCAATAAACATAAAGAAAGCAAAGCATTGAACTGAATAGATTCCTAGGATTTTAAAACAAAGATATCGAATGACCCATGCTGTGATGCTGTACCTTTGTCACTAAGACCGAGGGAGACTGATGACATGTCTCTTAAGCACATCCCTCTAGACAAGCATGAAAAGTGGGTATATATTTACCCATATCTCACCGGATGCAAGATTTCGCGTAGGCTCCCATTCATGCCATGGTGCTTTCCTCGGGCTCTCCAATGTTCTAGGGGTGTTATGTTATTTTCAACGCTGTAAGCATTCCATATTCCACGTCATGAGCGGCCAGCACGTTCTATTTTCCACGCTGTGAGAGGCCGCCACTGTGTGTGTTAACAGCGTTATGCATTGGCTCTTCATGCATTACTATGTGACTTGAACTTCGAGATGAATTTCCGTTCCCAGATGGTCCGTCTACTTTGTCCCCAATTCTCAAACCAGTGATGGCTGTACAAGAGACGTAGTTGACAGAAAAGAAAACAGAAACAACAAAAAAAAACTGGCCCTCAGAGACACCTCCCAAAACAGACAGAAAGAGAGAGATAATGAGAGAGAGAGAGAGAGAGAGAGAGAGAGAGAGAGAGAGAGAGCTGTGCACGTTCATCACGCCGGGCCTGGGACGAACAGGAGCCAGTTTTCCGCATGGAAAAACCAAAAATGGAAAGAAAGCATATGTTAAACCACCCCCCCCCCCCCCTCCCCAGAACATAAGACAGTCTGTGGGAAGGGCCATGGCATGAATGGGTAATTTAGTCATATGTACCAAAAAGTGATATTTATCCGGAATTAGGCCGTACAGGAGTGTCGGTTTCGCAGTTTGTTGGGATGGACAGGATTAACTCCTACGCTAAACAAGTATTGATTAAAAAAGGGGTCATCGCAAACCATGAGCCACAGAGCAGATAATAAAATCCCTATCTGGGTGCCGAGGCCCCACTGTGAAGGAAAACAAGAACAGACATACGGCCTACCCAACAGCATGCCGTAAGAGACTACTAACTGGGAGCTTTCTTCGAAGTCAGAGTGCATCTGCCTGAGATGCAAGCAACCAATAGTCTGCATACAAATAGGTCAGAACTGTAAATCAGTTGTACACGTAACATTCAGGTACTGGAATTGGACTAGAGTCCAAAAGTGGATGAGCAGCCAGAACTTTCCACCCAAGTTAACAGCGAAGAAGAAAATAAAAGTGCACAGTAACCCCCCTTTACCCTGTATTTCAATTATTAATTAAAATATAATAAAACTCAAGAATAAATGAAAGAAAGACAGTTAAAACATTTGTGCATGTGTGTGATTGATGTTGCTACCTATAACTCAGCATCAAAGACAAAGGTTCTTAAACTAGGAGAAGTGATCACCAAGGGGTTCATCAATTAAACAATCAGGGTTTTTGGTGTAAGAACATTCTAACTTCACTGACTTCTCTTGTTATGTATTTACTGAGATAATTTATTTATTAAAAAAAAATTTACTGGCATATATTCAACAGTTTTATCTTTAATACTATAATTGAGAGAATGACTCACTGTACGGACAGAGCGAGATAAACAGCTAGAGACACAGACAGAAAATGTACGTTCTAACAAAAAAGATATCACTGACCCTCTTCAGAGACTTGAGCTTGTAGGTGGGACAGGCATACAGGGCGAGAGAGACAGAGTGAGAGTGATAGCTGAGACAGAAAAAAAATATACGTTCTAACAAAAAAGAAATCAAGAGAGACAGACAGACAGCTAGAGAGAGATAGAATATGTACGTTCTAACAAAAAGACATCCCTGACCTTCTTCAAAGACTTAAACTTGTAGGTGGGACAGGCATACAGGGCGAGAGAGACAGAGTGAGAGTGATAGCTGAGACAGAAAAAAAATATACGTTCTAACAAAAATGAAATCAAGAGAGACAGACAGACAGCTAGAGAGAGATAGAATATGTACGTTCTAACAAAAAGACATCCCTGACCTTCTTCAAAGACTTAAACTTGTAGGTGGGACAGGCATACAGGGCGAGAGAGACAGATAGAGTGAGAGTGATAGCTGAGACAGAAAGAAAATGTAGGTTCTAACAAAAAAGACATCAAGAGAGACAGACAGCTAGAGAGATATAGAATATGTACGTTATAACAAAAAGACAGCACTGACCTTCTTCAAAGACTTGAGCTTGTAGTTGGGAGCTGTCAGACAGTACCTGTCTGGGGGCAGCCTGGGACCACAGTAAGGCTTCACCAGCGGCAGGGGCTGGGTGTTCTTCTGCCTGGCCACCTCCATTAGAAGCTGCAAGCAACAACACAAACACACACAAGTCAGCAAGTGCGTCTAGATATATACTGTAAACTCTCTCAACACACACACAAATATATACTGACTCTGAAGCAAGTTAAAATATTATGTTTAATTTCTTTAAATCTCTTTCTCTCTCTCACTGTGTGTGTGTATGTGAGAGAGAGAGAGAGAGGAAGTGACAGAAGAGTGCATTCTCTAAAAATGTGCTTGTGCATGTGTGTATAAGAGAGACACAGCATCTATTCAAAAAAATGTAAATGTGATTTTATCTGTTTCTCTCAAAAAATATGTTGTCACTTTTCACCTTGACACCCAACAATCAAATCATTTGTTCTCTGGCTGGATATTTGGCTTTAATATACTGAAGACATCTGACTTTACATCTGGCAGAGTTCAGTTCCGACTAACAAGTCGTTAGACAAATTTGTATTTTTAAACACTGTTTCCTTTCAACTTGGTTTTTAAAATGGTAAATAAAGTACACACATTCAGTCTATGGACACATAATTAGACCCTGCTAAACTTTGTGTCGATTTCGGGAACTTTTTTGGGGGAGATACTAAATTTATTTCCCTTTTTTATGTGTGGTCATGAGTGGGGATGCTTGTAAGTCGCATTGGTCATAAGTCGAGGAGAAGGTGTACTGTGAAAGAGAAAATGCGCACATGCACTTACATCTCTAGGTGGTGGCGTAGTGAAATGAGTGGTCAACCTTCATCTGAACTGCCAGCTTGATGTCGTCAGTTTCTATCACTTTCCTGTTTCCATGACTAGAGTAGACTTTGGCATCTTCTATAATATCAGTGACATAACCTGTACACAGACAACATAATATCAGTGACATAACCTGTACACAGACAACATAATATCAGTGACATAACCTGTACACAGACAACATAATATCAGTGACATAACCTGTACACAGACAACATAATATCAGTGACATAACATGTACACAGAAAACAGAATATCAGTGACATAACATGTACACAGACAACATAATATCAGTGACATAACCTGTACACAGAGAACATAATATCAGTGACATAGCCTGTACACAGAGGGAAAAATATCAGTGACATAACCTGTACACAGAGAAGGTAAGATCAGTGACATAACCTGTACACAGATACAGATAACATTTATCAGTGACATAACCTGTACGCAGAGAACATAATATCAGTGACATAGCCTGTACACAGAGAACATAATATCAGTGACATAGTCTGTACACAGAGAACATAAGATCAGTGACATAACCTGTACACAGAAAACATAAGATCAGTGACAAAACCTGTACACAGAGAACATAAGATCAGTGACACAGCCTGTACACAGAGAACAGAATATCAGTGACATAACCTGTACACCGAGAACATAATAGCAGTGACATAACCTGTACACAGAGAACATAATATCAGTGACATAGCCTCTACATAGAAAACATAATGTCATTGACATAACCTGTACACAGAGAATATAATATCAGTGGCATAGCCTGTACACAGAAAACATAATGTCAGTAACATAACCTGTACACAGAGAACATAATGTCAGTGACATAACCTGTACATAGAGAACATAATGTCAGTGACATAACCTGTACACAGAGAACATAATGTCAGTGACATAGCCTGTACACAGAGAACATGTCAGTGACATAACCTGTACACAGAGAACAGAATATCAGTGACATAACCTGTACATAGAGAACAGAATATCAGTGACATAACCTGTACACAGAGAACAGAATATCAGTGACATAGCCTGTACACAGAGAACAGAATATCAGTGACATAGCCTGTGCATATAGAACATAATATCAGTGACATAACCTGTACACAGAGAACATAATATCAGTGACATAAACTGTACACAGATAACATAAATCAGTGACATAGCCTGTGCAGAACAGAGAACATATTATCAGTGACATAGCCTGTACACAGAGAACATAATTTCAGTGACATAACCTGTAAACAGAGAACATAATATCAGTGACATAGCCTGTACACAGATAACATAAGATCAGTGACATAATCTGTACACAGATAACATAAGATCAGTGACATAGCTTGTACACAGAGAACATAATATCAGTGAAATAACCTGTACACAGAGTACAGAATATCAGTGACATAGCATGTACACAGATAACATAAGATCATAACATAACACAGAGTACAGAATATCAGTGACATAGCCTCTACACACATAAGAGCAAGAAGAAACTCCACAGGGGAGCATGTACAGCAGGAGTCTACCAATCATCAGTTGAAGTGATCCCTCGTCAACAAATGTTTTGGCTCACGAGCTCCTAGACATTTTCGGAGGGTGGGCCCACCTGAGTTCATGAAGCTCAGGCTTGATCTGCTCCTGCTGCACGTATTACCGGATGTTTTTGGACAGGGACAAGACGGAATTGGTGACTGTCCAATAGATACTGTGAGATTCGAAGTTTATTTACATAGTCACTGACGAGTTTAACTTGGCTGTTTGTTGGGTTTCGCGACATCATCGTCGGAAATTTATCCTACATTTGCTGCGGAAAGAAGTCTGCAATTTACATGTGACTGAGGCCCTGTCAGGGTGTCTTTTTGGCCGCCATACGGAGGGGATTTCCTTCAATCTTCTACCCCATACTATGGCGGCCAAACAAACACCCTAACAGGGCCTCAGTCGTGTGTGAAATGCAGACTTTATCAGACGAACACATCTCAGCAAAACTAGGTTTACTTGACAATGTCACGACACTCAACACTGCAGACAATACTAGCGACCACTGACAATTCTGAGAAATGCAACATTACAGATGATAATATGGAGATGGCGGGGAGACTATGTGCTCTGACTCAGATTAGCGATAGTGTTCTACTGATTAAACTCACAGTCGAGCGTATCCCCTGCGCTGCTACGTGTGGCGCAGATGGGGATCTAAACTAGATGCCTGGGGCTCTCATGCAAATCAATTGGAGGAAGTTGCAGGAGATGCGGTAGCTACTGCTCATAAGTCCTAGCCATCTAGTTTAGCCCCCCCCCAGCGGAAACGCATAACGGCGCAGTCGCAGACACAGATCCGCAATTTACATGTCCATGAGACCCTGTTAGAGCTTTTGCTTCGTTATTCAGAGCCAATCCTAGTTTTGCAGCAATTTGTTCCTTGGCAGGAACTCCGCATTTTGCATAGGACTGAGGCCCTGTTAGGGTATTTGTTTGGCCGCCATAATACGGGGTAGAAGTTTGAGGGAGAGGATAGCCCATGTAAGTAATTTGTGTACTGTATATTATGTTGGTTTTTTCGTGTTGATGCCCAGGAGCTCTGGTATAGGGGGCAGTTTGGTTCAGGGCCTCAGGTTTGAGGGTTAAGTTAAACGAAACTCTAAAAAATAAAATTTAAGTACAGGCTTGGACAAACAACGAGAACTTTCTTGGAGGAGTAGTGGATGAACACGAAGAAGGAAAATAAAAAGACTGACAATGTTAACGGTAGGAAGCTGGTGTAAATCCTGAAGGAGGAATATCTTCTTCTTCTTCAGCGATCTCTGGTCATGCGCATAATCCACTGTGGGTCATAAACTGGGATGTCTTTTCAAGGTCTCTTAGGTTTCCCCAAAGCTTAGTTGTCAGTTCTACTGGGTGTTGCCATATGTCGCTCCGCAGCTCCACCAGGAGAGGACAGTCTTGCAGGACATGTTCTGGGGTCTGTTCAGCACGAAGGCACCGGCAGAGAGCTGTTTGGCTCATACCTAATTTATATGAGTGTTTATTGAGTCTGCAGTGTCCAGTGCGTAAGCGAAAAACTGTGACTTGGTCTGTTCTGTTCAAGTGCCTCAGAAAATCTTTTCCGTAGTCATAACCAGTGTTGTTTTTCCAGTCTGTTTCTGATTTTCTCTTAATGAGAGTTTTGACTTCTGGAAAAGATAGTGGCTGGTAGGTCTGTAGTTTGTTACTGCCTTCCTTGGCTAAAGCATCTGCGCTTTCATTGCCTTTGATGCCGCAGTGAGACGGAATCCACTGCAAGTGAATTTCTGCCTTATTTGACAACATAGCAAGTTCCTGTGTTATACTTTGTAGTGTGCTGTCGGTAGGTTTTGACTCAAGGGCCTGTACAGCTGACAGTGAGAAAAACGAAGGAGGAATATGATCACTTATAGATGGACGTATGTGAAGCCGCGCGACTACGGTGTTCGGCAATTGGCGGTCTTTTGGCAATTTCCGTTACCATGGAAACCGTTCTAAACTTGCTTCGCAAATGTCGGCTGGGGTTTCGGGATGGGTCCTAATCTCTCATTAAATTTTGCGGTTGGTGTGATTTTCACCCACTATAAAAAGCTGAAAACGGCGGGAAGGAACCCGATTAACAGCGCATGTCTACGACAGCCGGACGTCCTCTGTTTTTCTGTTACATCAGTTTGATTGAAAATAGCGATAAGTATTCAGGGTTGGCTTTAGGCTTTAACTGTTACTGTACCTGGTAATGCTAGTTATAATTGAATTCTCGGTCCAATTTTACATTTGTGTATAAAATTTCTTTCTGGTACGTGGCTAGGTAGATGTACAGTGACATTTTTCAGGCAATCGCTGGCTCAGCCAGTCTCATTGTCTGCCATCTTGTCCAATGCAAACAAAGCTAAAACGAAAGTTGCGCAGTTTGGTTGCGCAGAGAAAACTTCTTGTTTCTGGGAGACAAGTTTTAGCAGCTGTTTTTTACATCTCACTCATCTCCACAAAAACCTACATATAGTACATATCTCGGCTCAGAAATGACATACAAGCCTAAATGAGGTACCATTGGAAAGAGATTGTTTACAGCTATCTAACTGTGCTGGTTTTATTGGTGTAGAGGGCATTTTGAAAATTTTACTAAAGTATCTATGAAGCGAAGCCAAATCAAAACAAACAATGAATTATTTAAATTTGACAGTTATCGAAAACATGTTACTGTCACCACAAACAAAGCCATTAATTACTCACGGTAAGTAAACTCCAACATTTGATTGATGATCCGAGTTTCTGAATCTAAGACCCCCATGTCTTTGAGAATAGCAGACATCACCTGTGCATCTTTTGGTGAGCTTTTAGCGTGAGAAGACATAATTCTTGTCAACCAAGAGACTGGAGTTTCAACATGGACGCCGCCTACAACAATAACAAACGACACCGGTGACTTCTCAGTGATCTCCCCTTGGTAAAACTTGTTGATACTGTCTCCAATATGTGGGTGTGTTGGGAAATGAGCAGACAGGTAGACTGGCCGAATCTGCCCCTTCGAGGTGAACTGATGTATGACAAGCTGGATATGGTGAGGGCCCTTTGGGAGCAAGTGAACAGAACCGAGGAACATATTGATCATTACGGTCTGAGGAGAATGGCACTGAGAGGAGTTACACGGGGATCTGGCCGACCCTCAACACTCAGGAGAAAGGCGGGACGGATATAAAATCAGACAGTTACTGGTACCATCGGAATTTTAACTCTTCGCTTGCTGCTAAAGATGAGGACATAGCGCTTATAGGTGTGTCCCGAGTGCTGTGATGTCGATTCCTAATTCAACATTCCCCTCGATACCAATCATCATCACTATCATCCTCATTATATTTAAGTGTGGCGCGGTAAATTCGGTCACAGGCATGAGGCAAAGTTAAGTCTGATGTGATGTGTATAAGGAGATATTCCGTACCCCACTCGGGCGCCAGTCCTTCACTGTTCTGGTTTTACGGAACCTCATGCAAGACTCCTGTTTCACGTCCCCGTCGTGCGCCACGGATAATGTCTCAAATGAGCATTAACAGAGTTGGCAGGGGATCTCGGAGCTGGCGGCCCCCAGAGGTGTAGTGTCCTTTCTGGCTCTCACCAGCCCGCCCCCAAACGCATGGGTGAAAAGTCTAACAAAACTCAAAATTGCTTGCTAAATGTACCATCAAATGACAACTCTTGGTTAAAATTCGGCAGGGAATTTAAAACTGAGTTGCTGAGACTCAACCCTGACCGAGAGATTTACCCGCAGCCAAGACGAGTAACATCTCTTGTGGGCGACTTCTCGCAGCAAAATCCTACCTACGTACATCCTCTGTCAATCCTCAGTGTCGTCGTCACCGCGCTGAGGTACACCACGGCAGCAACTTTTCATATGCTGGTTTGGAAATAATGTCCGACAAAGTTATACCCCACGGCACACATGCAAGCTCAGAGTCCGACGATCATAATTCGTACCGATCATGAAAAAGTCCGAATGTCCGTATCCACTGGTCCAACTCGCCCGAGTGTTGGGACCAAACAGGTGAAGCCACGCCTGACGCATTTTGCTTCCCAATTTTGTCGTGCTAAGGGCACAGCTGAAACAACGTTAAAAGTGTCTAACGTAAGATGAAAAAGAATGTACCTATTTGCGTGGCCACAAAAGTCCTGGACCTGCGGGCTGCTCCCCGCTGATCTCCGAAGAGCGCAGCCTTGTAGCGCGGGAAGCTCAATACACGGTTGTGAGGTTAAGCAGTCATGGGCAGGACGTGACGATTCCTTGGGTGAGCCCAGAACCAGGGCATCATGTGTCGGCTCTGCATTTATGGAAGCCTCCTTGGATGGCGGGGAATGCCTATGATCTGCCCCTGCCTTCCCTTGAGGGCTGAAAACTCTACATAGAGCTGCCTTAAGGACGACATGCCGGGGGCCACACCTGTTAAAAGTCAAAGAGGACACCACACAAATGAGGCAACATCTCGACCCACACAAAATAATGGCCACAGTCAACCTAGAAATAGGCTTGACGTCTTCCTCCGAAGTCGGAGTACATCTGCCGGAGAGGCGGGGAACGAGTACTGCAAACAAATAAGCCAGTAAAACGGATGTACACGCAAAACTCAGGTCAAGGTAAAAGCCAAAAGTCCATTTTGGACGAACAACCGCGACTTACCGCCGGAATTCACAACCGGTGAACAAGAAGAAGAAGAAGAATATTTAAGTGCCTTGCCGATCGGCGTGGAATATTGAGTCTTTACTTCAGTCGGTGATCTTCAACAGGATGTATGAGTTTGTGCGTTGACAAAGGCTGTCACCAAAATTTTCACGTTGTCTTCCTCTGTCTCTTTTTTCCACACATCTTTCAAGTGGTCACAACATGTTCCAGTTTCCTTCTTCTTGTGATATAGCCAAAAAAAAATTTATGGCTGTCTCTTTCTGATGTTTGTGATAAGTGTTCTTTAGTTTTAAACGACCACATCGTGTTGGCTTCGATATTTAGAAGGGAAATCACCAGAACGTCCCATAGTAAAGGGAGTTAGGGTTAGGCTTAGTAGTAGTTGCTAGTCACTTTTTGCTTCTGTCGGACGGTGGCTGATTCATTTTTGCTCCACTTGTAGACTGGATGTAGTTTCGTCACCCAGCTTCTGAGTTGAAAGCATGGCGTGACACTGTGAGCTGTGGATTTTATTTTAAATGTTTTTTCGACTGTGACCAACGTGGTGGTGTAAATTTTATTTTCAGAAAATGACGCGACGGCGATTCCTGTCGTCGCAATGTCGGTGGTGCCCGTATGTGATTAAAATTGATCGCGTGGGATGCTGCTGACTGACGGTGACTTCTGCTACCATCAATGATGAACTGCATTTCTGATGTCGGACTGTTTGTGTTAGCACTTCTGATGGCTACCATATGCTTTAGTGCGTGTGTATGCTAGATGTGCCTAGACAGCAGTCTGTCACTCTTTCCACAAGAGACTGTGATAAACATTCCGCGTATTTTTCTTTTGCACAAGAGCGGAGCAAAGATGGGGTGACTCGTTTGCTATGAAGCTGAAACTAAGACTACCAGACCAGTGGTTGCATATAGGCCTTTTTTGGAAAACATTATTTTGTCAAACCTTTTTTCTGGTTCTTTAACTAACCCCCTTTTAAATGTATATCTTTTCGATTTTTTTAAGGGAGTTTTTTTTGAGGTTTCGTGGAAACCGTTTACTCCTTGCTCAATACTGGGGGAATTTTTTTTTCACCAACCCCTAAGTGTCTAAGGGGCCGCCTTTCTCTTTCCCAAAGCTTCCTAGCGCCCCAAAACGTTTTCCAATCTATCCCCTTTTATTATTTTCTTTTTTCAAGGCGATCGGGAAATGTCCCCCAGTTTTTTACAATGCGGGGGAAATGTATTTTTTGTGGGGCTGGCAGTTTTTTCACACCCAAACCAACACCCACCCAAAAATCAAAAAAAACCCAAAACTAACTGTACCCACCAAAAAACATTTTAAGGGTTTTCCTGAAAATCTCCAACATTTTGGGGGGATGAAAACCCAAACCCTACCGTGCAAAGGCTTGGGGTAGCTCAAAACAATGGTTTTCCCCTTTTGGGATAGAGACTTCCCAAAGGGCCCCAGTGCAGTATTGGGCCCTCTATGGTGAGGAAAACTCTCGGACTATTTGACCCCAGGGAGCAAATTCCCGAGTCAAAGACCCCGAATCATCCGGAGCTAAAAGGAGGCATCATAGACAAAAAGGATGGGAACAAAGTCTGATGCTTCATGTGTTTTTTTTTCCTCACGGGCTCATTTTTTTTCCAATGTTTAAATTTAGTCCCACCGGGGAACCGGCTGTTTTGTATAGTTTCCTTGGGATTAGACATAAGTTGCTGAATTTTTTCACTGATAGCTGGAATTCACTTCAATTTTTAAAAAAATTTGAAAAAAAAAAAAAACATACATTATCAAATTACATGAAATCACTTTCAATGGCTGATTTAAAGGTTTTCTCTATTTCACCTTTTTTAAGTTTTTTAGCAGTTATATGGAAATGTATTTTCCCATTATATGTTTTAACATTTTTATGATAATGATTATCAAAACCCTTTGGGGTTTTTTCTTTAGTAATTAGGGGGGTGTCCACCAAAGGTGTCCCTAGAAAATCGTTTTCATTTTACTGAAAATTTTTTTGTGGGTGCCAAATTTGAGTTGCCCTACCCCAAAGGAAAAGGGTTGAGCGTATTTTGGCCAGGGGGAATCCCTTAAAACCAATACGAAAAACGACTCAACAAATTTAAATCCCTAGTGCTTTTTGGGTTTTTTAAGGAGAAATCCTTACATTAGCACGCGACGGGGTATAGGGAAAAAGAAAAACTTTCCCCCAAAAATTATTTTGGTCTCTTTCCGTGGATTTTTTTTTTGTCACTTTTAAATCTTTAAATTTGCGGGTTTATTTGCCAGGAGTTTTTTCGGGTGTTTTTTTTTTGTTAACACATTTTGTAACCTTTTTCGGGGTTTTTTCCCTTATATTTTAATACTCCAGGGTGTTTGTAATCATTGTGGTGTTTTGTGTTTTTAAAGTACTTTGGGGTTAGGTAAAACCCTTTGGTTGGTGGTGAAAATTTTAATCTATTTTGATTATATTTACATTTTTGGGGTGAAAAATATTTTTGTTGGGGGGAAAGGGGTTTAAAAATTGGGGGTTTTTTAAAAGGGAGGCATTTTTTTTTTTTCCCGGGCCCAAGGTCAAAAAATTTTTTCCATAAAAAAAGGGGAAATTGGGGGGAGGGAAAAAAAGGGGGGGCGGGGGGGGGGGGTCCAAGATGGGAAATTTTGGAAAGGGGTTTGGTTTCAGAAATAAAAAACCGGGTTTGGTTTAAAAAACCAGGGAAACGTGAGAGGGAGGATGGAAGCCCGTGAGGCTGGGGAACTAGAATTGGGCAGAAAAGGGAAAAGCGAAAGACTCCGAATAAAAATCTGAGGGGGTTTAAGAAACCAAACGACTCATGATTGAATCTGGAGGTTTTCAAAAACTGGCGACCCCCAAATGGAATCTGAGAGACTCCGAATTGGTCTGAGAGGGATTCAGAAAGAATGGTTTTGGGGGAACGGGAATCAGAAAGAATGAATTTGGAACAGGGGTGAGGTTAAAGAATTGGAACTTCAGGCACGGGAGGGGGAAATAGACCCAGTCTCCAACACCTGATATTGTTGCATCAACGCCAGTATTTCCCACTAAAGCAAATGAATTTTCCCTAGGGCCCAGTTTTTCGCCCCAAAAAGGTGAAAATATTGAACAGTCCCTAGACCGTTTGGAAAATTGGGCATCTTTGTAAAATTTTTAAAAAGGAATAGGGTACACGCGGGAATTTGGC